TAACTCACACGCCTATTATACAATTCACAATAGGGAGGTGTTGGGTGTCATTGAGCTATAAGGCCTCAACAAAATTAAAAAGTATTAGAATATAAAAAAAAATTATCTAACAAATCTGGTATCTTATCATCCAAATTAAATATGTGGATGCTGTTAAGAATAGGCTAAAGATGAGTGCACAACATATCTGAAAAAAATCTGAAGTATGTGGTCCTGAACAAAATTGAAGCCACCTCCCCTCAATTTTGTAGTGTTACTGGTCATGATTGTTTTATTTATAGGTTGAACTTCTAATCATTTTGGAATATGTTGCTATACATAATCTTGAATCATTGAATCCAAATATTAGTTATTGTGCCTAGTAGGAAGGTACAGAAAAATTTGTAATGGTGAGAGAGGTGATAAAACAATTTTATTGTCCAAAATCATGGATTAATTGACTCATAAACACATATGATATAGGATATATTAAAATTCCTGATGTTATGTCTTATTTGACAAAGCTTTCTGAGCACGGAAATAGCAACTATTGAAAGCCCACAGAATATTGTAACAAATCCAATCGATACTTTATTAACATACTCTTTTTATTATTTTATGGTTATGGTAAGTATTTTTCATTGATTTTTTTTTATCATTAAAGGGTAAGATTGTGAAAAGAATTAATGTCTTATTAAATTCTAAGGTGACAGTTGTATCCTTATACATTGATGAATTTATATGTAGAGTTATGTAGGGAGTTAATAACATTAAAAATTACTAAGGTCCTCTTTGATTTCTAAAGGTACCTATTATAGCCACAACTTTGTGTGTGTGTGTTTCTTTTATATACAAAAATCCTACATAATAAAAAAATGTGACTCTTTAAAGAAAATTTATTTTTAATAACTTTTTAGTTATTAAAGTTATGTTGGTTTATAAAACAGTATATGATTATGATTTTTTCATTGAAAAATACATTACTTCAAAAGATATATCTTCAAGACATCACTTTATGACATGTGTGTGTATATATATCCCTCATCTTCATTCTATTTACACAGCGCACAATATTAAAACCATTATCTTTGTCTTTGGGAATGCATATAATATTCAAAAGTCTTTAAAAGATATTTACCAAACTAACCTAATTTACACCCCTACGATTGAAATAGGTGAGAGTGAATTAAACCTGAAAGAAACAATTACCCATACCTTGAAAACATATTGAATAAATTTTTTGTTCTTTTTAGAAAGCCATCACTTTATTGTTGAAATGGATCATACTTTCATTTCCTCCATACTTGAAACAAAAAAGAAGACAGTGATAGACGTTGTGAATATAAGTGAATGTATTAAAAGTGAAGTCCCACGTTGCTCAAGAGAGAGGAGGTTCAAGTGTATATACACTATCTTATATTATTGGATTAGTGAATGGGCTTAGAGAAAAAAAAAGATCTTACGAGCATGACAACAGCCCGTCAAAAGAAAACTTTTGCAAAAATAAATTACTAGATTATGTTAAGAAAGCTTACCAAAAAATTGTTAGTTTATTTTTTTTATTAGCTGGAGGTTAATGAACGTTGGAGTTTTATTCTTCATTAAACTGAGATTATCCCTTCATTAATCCTTAAACTATTTTCTATGGGTTAATGATTGCCAACATCTAGAAATTTAATTTTGAGTGCTGTTAATGTTCATAACTGAAGATGTAAATAGTATTTATTGTGCCAACATCTGTAACTAAAGATTTAGTTGTGTTTATTGTCATAAGCATAATGCCCAATGTTCAGATGCTCCATGACCTATATAAAGAGGTTCAGGTCTCGGGACAGAGTGTTTGACACACCACTCTTGAGCTTTCGAGCACCCATCCTCTCTTCTGTGACTTTCTCCTCTCATTTCTTTGTTGTTAAGTTATATCTATATTTCTGCTAGTCTATGACCATGTCTACTGTAGGAGGGATTCGTTTAATTTTGGAGAGTGCCACATCTACTTTACTTACTGTGGCTGAATAACTTTTAAGGACAGTGTCTTTCTGGTGCGACCAGAACCAATTTGCTATTCAGTTGTTTTGGCGATATTCCTACATTAGATAATGATAAAATATTGGGCAAAAAATAATCATAAAATAAAATACATGAAGTGCCATCTAAAATCCCTCCATACTCATGACGACCAGCATCTTTTTTCCCTATTTCAATTTCTTTGCCTGTGTCAGCCATTTTGTGCGCAAGTCTAATTTTCTCATTGGTCTTTTTACCATCGTAAAATTATAAGTTAATATATGTGTACTTGAATTTCTGTATTATTAAATAATGCAAGACTTTTTTTTTCTTTTAACATACCCATACACAAAATTAAACATGTATATGCTACTACTATAACACAAACAACATGCTTGTTTGGTTTAATGGTTGATAGAGCTCAAATCTCAGTTAACAACCTCAAAAGTTGGCTGGACATTTTCTTATTAGCTTTGGTTCAAATGGCTTTTGTTTCCCAAATCTAAATTACATCGTAAGTTTCTTTTCACTTGACATTTTTAGTCTGAAAAATTGACTTTTAAAAAAAAAATTATGTCCGAACATAAATCATTCTATAAATGCAAGTTTGAAATAATCTCAAATGCCACCCCACACATAGAGTGAGTGGATACATACTATTCCTTATACGGGACTCTCTTAGATTTTAACAACATTTCCATATGATCACAAAATAACTAAATCGATGCTTTATATTTCGTGGCTAAGAAAATCCACCTTTATTTTCAAACATTACCCAAACTGTCAACAAATTAATATTACAAATAAGGTGAATATATAGTAAGTTTATGGATTATCACCTAATTCTTTTAGAATGAAATATAAAATTTTAGCAATGCCATATTCTTCAAATTTAAATAATAATTGGTATGATTTATCTTAGACCTTGTACAATAATATACAATGAAATATGTCTAATTATTGCTATGAGATGTTTGAATATCAAAGAACAAATAAATTTTGGTTGGCAAAAAAAATTTGGTGTGATAATGAAACATTATACGTCCAATCTGAAAATCATATAAGCAGGTTTTTTTCCCCTTATAAATATGAGTTCTTTTCTTTGGGATATTTAAGATTTTAATAAACTATTAGCAACATCTAATCTAATTCGATAATCTAAAAGCATCACAAAATCACTTTAATTTTATCATAAATAATTCTAATTAGGCATTTTCCCTGTATTGTATTCTTTCAATCTTAAATATAAGACTTATTTTATAATATAATTATATTATAAAATTAGTTTTATATTTAGGACGAATATGAAATAAAAAGAATAAGCTACCTTTAGTTTTACCATTAATATAATATCAATAAATGCATGGTGTTGTTCCTTGCGAATATGCCGCGTTTGGTAGGTATGCTATTTCAGCTTCCAAGCAAAGGCAACATTAGTCTATTTAGTTCTGCTTAATGCCACCGCCATATCTGCATGATTACCAAAATGCCCATACATATTCCTGCGGCTTGTTTTTGGCAAAATATCAAGAGTGGAACACTGCGTCAGTTCGAGTCCAGAATTAAGAATTGAAAATTACGCGTTGGCACCCAAAAAAAAGAAAATTACGAAATTAGTACTATAATTTTAGGTCAAACAATTTTAGGAATCTTAATTTAAATTTGTATAATATGATAGTGAGGCTAATCCTATATTTTATACTTACAAATATGTGCGTATATTCACAAATAAAATTATCAGTTGTATTATTGTGACTTCTAAATGTATGAGTTTAGAAATAATAAACACATCATTTAGCCACCTAAGCCATCTGAGATGGTAGGTGAGCGTTTTTTTTCCTTGAAAAAAAATATTTAGGTCGTAAAAACTGAGGCAGACCTTTTTTTTTTTTTGGTGGAAAAAACTGAGGCCAAAATCTAATCTCGTGTCACGGTGATTCTTTTAATAAAATCTTTTTGGTATTTTTAACATTAAATAGCAAAAAAAAAAAACTACATCTGATTTTTAATATATCAATTATTTAATTAATTTAAATAGATTAAAAAATTATTTAAATTAGTTATATTTTTTTTAAAGTATTATTTTTAATCATAACTATTCTTAGATGGAAACCCTCAGTACATACAATTAATAAAGTTACTTTGGGCAATTAATTATAAATTTGAAAAACAAGCATAATTGAAATTTTATATTTATGATCAAATCTCTAACTAATTTTTATATTAAGAACTGAGACGGTAATTAAGAGAATTTTTTGGGTCTAAATATGAAAAATAACACCTTATTAACTCATGAACATATATTATTTTTCCATATCTGTTTTTTTGCCAACATTAGTTTAATTCCCATTAAATACATAATCATCATACAAATAACTAATATAAATATTAGTATTTCTTAAAAAAATTAAATATCAAATATATTTATTTATTGATCTTAATCATATTTTCTAGTCTGCTCCTCCATTCTTATTCATAAGAAATTTTTCTTAATTTCGATGAAAAACTTTATGAAAGACCCATACATGAGATTTTGGCCAAAAAAACCTATCTATAAGCTAAATTTTTAAATAGAGTTAATGAAATTTAATATATTCTTTTATATTAATAAAAATGTTACTTATAAATAAAATCGAATAAAGTAAATCAAAGTCTCCAAGAAAAAATTACTGAAATTAGAGAACTAATCTTTCCACGACAAATGGCCAAAAGAAGTCCCCCCACGTTACAATGTGCCAAACATTCCTGGGTTGGTTACTAAATAGCAAAGTTACACTTTTAATTATTATTGAGATTTTTTAATAATTCTCCCAGCTAATTACAATCACAGATGCACAAGTTGCGCCACGTGCCGAACTCGAATGATGCTATCTACGAAAATGCCCTCGCATGTTGTCTTGTGCCAACTACCCCCGCGGCCTCTTGAAGAACTTTGTTGGACTGTTGAAACATGAAGCTTACCAAACTTTCATTCGTCCGCACGCGCTCTCATAAAACCTCTATAAAACCCAACCTCTCATTCCCACAAATTTCTCAGGCTTCTTCTTTCCCTCGCGCCGAAGCCACAGAGAGAGAGAGAGAGAAAGGAAAGAGAAGCCAAAGTAGTTTCTTCGTTCGTCATGGCACTCTCAAATGCATCTTCTCTCTCCTCCAAATCATTGTGTGACATTCATCCTCTATCTACTCCCTCACACTCCCACCAACCCTCTCTTTCCTTCGTTCCCACTAAACCCACCCACCAACCCAGATCTCTCCCACGAATCTCAGCCGTCCACGCCGCAGATCCCCCAAAAACTCCGTAGCCGGCAGCAAGAAGCCCGCCGCCGCCGCCGCCACCACTGCCGCGCCCCCGGCGGCTGGTACCGGGAAGTGGACATTGGATGGCTGGAAGTCCAAGAAGGCCTTGCATCTTCCCGAATATCCTGATAAGAATGAGTTGGAGTCGGTACTCAAGACCATCGAATCGTTCCCTCCTATCGTCTTCGCCGGTGAGGCTCGGAGTTTGGAAGAGAGGCTCGCTGAGGCTGCAATGGGCAATGCTTTCCTCCTCCAGGTGGGGATTGTGCTGAGAGCTTCAAGGAATTCAGCGCCAATAACATTAGGGATACTTTCAGAGTTCTTCTGCAGATGGGTGCTGTTCTTATGTTCGGTGGCCAGATGCCCGTTGTTAAGGTTAGATCATTTCTACGAAGCACCAATACTTTAAAAAGCAGGCTAGCACGTCAATTTTTATTTAAACACTGATCATCTTGCTGTACTGTGCTTCCCAATCCTGTGGTTACTGAGTTTCATGTCATTTTCTCGGAATCACTTGCAGTTTCCCTTAATGTTTGGTAATTTTAGGCAGACACTGCATTTCAATGTTTATAGCTTAGGGGTTATGAAATTCCAATATCGGTCACTTTTAAAAGTTTTTGAGTTGGGTAATTTGTTATTTTAGGTGGGAAGAATGGCTGGTCAATTCGCAAAGCCGAGATCAGACCCGTTTGAAGAGAAGGACGGAGTTAAATTGCCAAGCTACAAGGGAGACAACATAAACGGCGATGCCTTTGATGAGAAGTCAAGAATTCCTGACCCTCATAGGATGATAAGGGCTTATTGCCAATCTGCAGCAACACTGAACCTGCTTAGGTCATTTGCCACCGGAGGATATGCAGCAATGCAGAGGGTCACTCAATGGAATCTTGATTTTGCTGAGCACAGCGAGCAGGGAGATAGGTAAGCAATATTGGAAGTTTAAATTTCTGACTTAGTATTTTTGAACGCTGCAAAGCTATTGTCATTTTTTGTTTGAGAGAACGTCAGAATTTGAACTTTTTCCCTTCTGATATATGCGATTTGGATTGTCAAACAGGTATCAGGAACTGGCTCACCGAGTTGATGAGGCCTTAGGTTTCATGGCTGCTGCTGGGCTTACTCTTGAGCACCCAATTATGACTTCAACTGAATTCTGGACATCTCATGAGTGCTTGCTTTTGCCTTATGAGCAATCATTGACCAGGTTGGATTCAACTTCTGGCTTGTATTATGATTGCTCTGCTCACTTGCTTTGGGTTGGGGAGCGTACTCGCCAACTAGATGGTGCACATGTAGAGTTCCTTAGAGGAATTGCTAATCCTCTTGGAATCAAGGTACGTGAACTTCAGGCTTTCTCATTTTCTTAGTTCTAAGTTCTGTTCGCTTTTTCAAAGTAAGTGAATGTATTAGTAAAGAAATTCCTTTCAATTATGTGCTTCTTCTTAGCAACATAAGATTGTTTGTTAATCAAATCTTTACCAAGCCAAGCTCATTTTCTTGCTATACTTACTGGCTAATAGGCCCTTGTATGATGTATCTGCCTGACAGTTTTCATGGCTGATAGAAACACCTGTGATGGATGCAGGTGAGCAACAAAATGGATCCAAATGAGCTAGTCAACCTCGTTGAAATCTTGAATCCCAACAACAAGCCAGGAAGGATCACAATTATTGTCAGAATGGGTGCTGAGAACTTGAGAGTCAAGCTCCCCCATTTGATCAGAGCTGTTCGCAGGGCTGGGCAAATAGTGACATGGGTTTGTGATCCTTGCCATGGCAATACCATAAAGGCACCCTGTGGGCTCAAAACGAGGCCCTTCGATTCAATCTTGGTATAGTACTGTCTCATGTTCTTTCTACTTAGTATCAAATTGATCACACATGCTTTGGCCGGAAAGAAAATTGATCACATATGCTATTTTGACATTTGTGGCTTACTGGCTTTCCACTATTTAGACCATGTGACGGATTGAAATTTCACTGATCCATGAATCCATTTTTGTCAGTATATCATAAACAAGCCCACTTTTGGGTAGGTTTATCAGTCTGGGTGCTCACTGCACAGTGCGTCGCATAGCTTAGGTATCATATACCATTCTAGTGTTTGCTGTCGTGCTAGGTGAAAGTATCTCATCATTGGAAGACAGGTCACTTTCTTTGTTGTCTACTGTATATAAAGTATCTTTTCCCAAGGGGTTCATAGTAGTGTGTCAGTGCGCAAAGGATGTGGCGACCAATGGTTGGTCGAACGGTGTTGAGATTTCATATTCATCATTCTAATTCCAATTCCAAATATTAAGAAAAGTTGATTCCATTCAAATATTTCACTAATATGCTGACTTGCCAAGGAAATTTGCTTTCTTCCTTTTCTTTTTTCCGGAAAAAAAGGAAGCCCAGGGGACACCAGTCTCTAATGAATAAATTTGACTTCCATTTTTATTTGTGGGAGTAATTATCGTAGGCGATGCTCATTGTATAAAACTGTTTTTGCAGGCTGAGGTGCGAGCATTCTTTGATGTCCACGAACAAGAAGGCAGCCACGCTGGAGGCATTCATGTGGAGATGACGGGCCAGAATGTGACAGAGTGCATTGGAGGATCCAGGACTGTGACTTTCGATGATCTGAGCTCACGTTACCACACACACTGTGATCCAAGGCTTAATGCATCTCAGGCTCTTGAGCTCGCTTTCATCGTAGCAGACAGGCTAAGGAAGAGGAGGATGGGAACAAGCCGTCTCCTCTCTACGGGCTTATAGACTCCCCTCCAAACCTCGGCTTTCGATTCTCCCACGTTGCAATCTCCAAAAGTCTATGCTGCCTTGAATCCATGGAGCTGTGTTTTTTTGTGCATAGATTGTGTTGCAGTGCGCCGCCACACGAGCATATATTCCACATATGTAGTGTATGGGTTCTTGCCTATTTGATCTTTTGAAATTATTTGGGATTTGTACCATGTAGACACGTAGTGAGCGACAATGGTTTGCCTATGAATATGCGTCGTTTTACAAAATAAGGTTTAGACTTTTGTCCGTTGTGCTTAAGTTATGAATGTACAAGAGCGAGCATGCACGTCCACGGTGTATTATTCTTCAATATTAGCTTCAATGTTCTTGTTTTCTTTTCGGGCCGTCTTTATTTCTTGATCTTCATTCATTTCTTTTGTTCAATGTGTGGCTGTCACGTTGGTTTCTTGTCAGTTTCGCTTTGCGCGTATCAGTCGCAGCAGTGATTCTGTGAAACTGCAGGAGACTCGAGAATGACGCAATTATTCTTCAACGCTCATATGTAAGACGACTATCCATTATATCGAAGTGCAGATGCGGGTTTAAATTTTTTATTTGTCAGATAAATAAATAAATATATTGTGTCAAATAAAAAAGTGATAAAAAAATGAGTTGGAGGGAAAGAGAGAATAAAATACTACTCAGTACACTTTTTTTGTTTTGTTTATGAACTAGCCAATTATATTATATTATACTCCCTTCGTTCCTTATTATAAGAGACAAATAACCGAATTATGTTGATCAAAAAAGCAGTTAAAATTAGTTAAGAACAATTAATGTGTAAAAAATATAATTTTTTCCCCAAAAATACCCTCATTAATAAGGAGAGAGAGCATGAGAGAGAACAATTAAATTATTAAAAAAAAAGAAGTAGGAGGGAGAGAGAGTGTGAGTTGGAGACAATAAATATGGGTAAAATAAGAAATCAACACAAAAAAGTAGAGACAACTTTTAAGTGTCTCTTATATATAGAAATGCCATAAACATCAAATGTCTTTTATAATAAGAACGGAGGAAGTATAAAATAGTACACAAGGCTGAACATAAACACTAAAGATATGATTCTTTTCGGCTGAAAATATTTTGATAAGTATTCGTGTTATAGCTAAGCATTCTTTAAAAAGTTTTTCTATTTTCAATTTAATCATATAAATCTTATTGCTTGTATATCGTTTGACTTTGTATAGTTTATTTTGCAATGAAAGCTATTCATTTCATTTAAAAAAAAAAGAAGTGATGATAGCCAACCTCCACTGCTGCAAAATATGCTGTAAATATACTTTTTTTCCATCTGTTCCAGAGATCTATTTGATTGGGCAAAATATAAATAGATAATGAGATTAATATTTTATTGTGCTATTATTTGGAGGCAAAAAATCCAATCACTTTGAAGGGGTACTTGCCCACATATATGAAAATGACAAATTATACAACCTTCATAACCATTACTTCATTGCTTATTATTCCTTTGGAAACATAAGTTAGCTTTAATAATATTAATAAAAATCATCAACATAAAGCATACATATTTATATCAAATTAATGACACTAAAATATTGTAAAACTTTGACTCGTCGATTATATTAGATTTTCAGTTGTGATAAGTTCATCCTAATACAAATGAGTGGGTAAAGCAGGAGCGTTGAACACGCTCTCTCCACCAAACCCAAGCATTAGAAGGAAATATTATTTAATACAAATTTGATTTTCAGAAGTCGGAGAGTAGTTACAACTGTCCCACAACGGTGATGCAGTCAAAAATCCACATGTATAATTTATTCAAGTTTCAGAAAAAAAATTCAAACAATTTCTTATTGTACGTTACATTCAAACTATAAAATTATACATCTTAAAAGTTTTTTTAATATCTTTCTGGTCCACAAAAAAAAAGTTTTTTTAGTATCAAAATAAATGTTTGAACTCTACTTACTGTTCACACTATTATTTAAACTATAATTTTTTTCCCGTGCCATACACGAATTAGAATATTTGATTAGATTTTAAATTCTAATAAATTATATTATCTAAAATAGCTCAAGATTATTTCTTATAGGAATATGATTTTTTTTTATTCATTCAAATGGGATTTAAATTAGAGGTGCAAAATTTAGGGTAAACATGTGAAAATTCTAAATTAATTATTTATTTTTCTATTTAAACTCCCAATTGACATACTATTTATAATTATGCTTTTCATTTTATTCAATATATTCAAATTCCAATTAAGATACTATTCAAATTGAAAATTAATTATTAATTTCTTTATTTGAGTCTCCAATTAAAATCTCATTTAATAATGATGCTCCTCATTTAATTTAATATACCCAAATCCCAATCAAAATATTATTCAAATATGAATAATTGAATATATTTGGATCTTATAATATTATATCCGACTCATTTTAAAATGAACAGGATATTATAAGTTTTCAAGAATAAGTTGATGACTTTTACGCAAGGCTTTTTTTTTTTTTTAATGTTATTATAAGTGGATAAAAGTATTATATTTAGAAATAAATTGAAAGTCATATTAACTTTTATATTAAAAAATAGAAATAGTATGTAAAGAAATGTTTAGTTATATCAATCCATCACGTTCTTTTTACAAAATTATTCCTTTTGGTTCTTAATATAATTTTTTTTATAACATTAAGCTCTTAAATGTTACCTTCGGTCTTTAGTATAAAAGCTAGTTTTACTTTTAATATAGTTTTAAATATAATACTCCAATCCACTTTATCTCTCACATCTGTTCATTTTTTCCAAAATAATCCTTGTAGTAGTTACACATGTTAAAAGTTTCATTTAATGATAGTTTTAGTTAATACATATGATTAGCAAATGTATTTTAGGAAAGACAACACATATTTATTACAAATAACTAACTTAACAAACTTTCTTAATCTACTCAAATTAGTCAAATAGCTCTTATATTAAGGACCGAAAGCAGTATATTTTATTTTTATATCCCCCAGCTAACTAAGGATAATTTTAAAATTTTAAAAAATTAAACTAATTCTAAATAAATTCCTTAATTTTTTTTTCAGGAGAAATTCCTTAATCTCCTTAATAACGGGGAAGGAATAATAATACCTACATATTTTTGCATGGCATAAAATCCAACCTGAGTTGTCTGGTTTGACCAATGAATTGGGAAGCCAGTTTATTAACAATTTCAATTAAGAGTCTTGAATGGACATTTTTTTTTTTTTACCTGAAGAGTCTTGAATGGATTGACTGACTGGAATTTTATATTTTTTTATTAAGCCTAAAATAGCATCATTTTGAGTTTAAACAAAATAAAAAAAAAATCATCTGTCAAATTTGTACTTTACTAGCGATATGTTATGTGAGACTATTTGGGGTTTTATCGCACCACTTATGAATTAATATTATTTTATTCAAATATTACTCTTTTAGGATTATATATATAAATATTTTAATTAATTTATATTATCTTTGTTCTTAATATAAGAGCTTAATTTGATTTTTATTTTGATTCTAAATATAAGATTCCAATTTACTTTTCTTTTATATTTATCTATTTTTTTAAGGTAGTCCTTGTGATAATAGTAGTTCTACTCAATATTCTTGATTAGCAATGATATTTTAGAAAAGATGATATATATTTATTATAAATACTTAACTTAATTAATTTTTAAAATCTATTCAAATTTATTAATTAGTTTTTATATTAAGCATACTGCTATTATTTTAATTATCATCATTCTAGTTATGAGTTGACCTCATCGGCCGGCTTTTCAATACCTTCGGAAATGCCTTGCTAAGTATGAGAAAAACTACAGGGTGTTTGGATAAAAATTAAAATTCAAATTTTTTTTACGATATATGAAATAAAAAAATAAAAAAATTTATCTCATTTTCTGAAAAAATATTTTTTAAAAACACTTTTTCTAATATCCAAACACCTCCAATTAGGGGGAAAAAGAGAGGAAACAGCAACCCAGCTGAAATGCCATGCAAAACACAACGTTAATAATGCCACGATTGAAGGGTATCAACGTAGATGGTCTCACAATGTTGACTAAGGGATATGGTTTGATACAATCACCCGTGGGTTCAGCCTACCATTATTGACTGGAAGTTTGTCATCTTTACATCCATGTGATTACCTCATTATCAACGCTTATTTAGTAGATGAATCTACCTCTTATTACCTTACCTCCACTCCTGATAGTATACTTAGTAGAAGATCTAATTAACTAATTGAGAGATTAAAAAATTTAAATGATAATTTAATTATAAAATATATTATATGATCTTTTTAAAATACTTATATGTATCATTAGATTATATATTAATTTTATTTTCTTTAAAATATCCTCATTAATCATGTACATTGAAATTACCATTTGATAAAAACTATTTAACATATACAATTAACATAAAGGTTCTTTAAAAAAAAAAGCTAAATATAAGAAATAAAATAAATTAAAATTTTATATTTAAAATTAAATTAAATTTTCAACGGGCAGCTAAGATTTCATTCAACATTGAATGGCTCCAACCGCTTAAACGACTCGCATTTATTTAGTAGGTGTTTCGATTAGGATATGCATTTGGAAATTTGGAAATATTTAAATTAATAAATAATTATACAAAGACAGTTGTGGATGTGGCGGATGAATGACAGAGACAGCCTACTGCCACAGACCCAACTTCCTTGACCCTGCGTTCTCATCCCCACCATTTTCTCTTTCTATTTTCTTTTTCTTTTTCTTTTTTGACGTGGAAAAGTTAGAAAATTATAATGATTTGAAAGTCAAACCAGACAGGATAGTCAGACAATCAGTCAAAAGTTCTTACAACTCAGTTGTTATAGGCCTGTTTCTGCGCGTTTTATGTAAACATGAGTTTGGATATTAACAAAAATATTTTTTAAAAACATCTATTTTTGTAAATTAAGATTAAATTCTTCATATATTTATTTTATATACTGTAAAATTATTTTCAAAATCATAATTTGATTTCTATTTAGGAAAAATTTTCTATATGTTTATCTCATATTTTATCGATCACAGGTTAAAATAAGTCATTTCGCTATGAGTTAGGTTTTGAATCCAAGTTCAAGCTGATGATCATCGAATTGGGAATTGAAGCAGTTATTTACAGTCTATTTCACCCCTGACCGGACTGGCTAGTTCAAACAGGAAACTGGCCTAGTAATTGGTTTGGTTGAGCATTTAAACTGGAAGTGAACCGACTCGGTGTGACTAAAGCCGGGAAAACGGGCCAACCCGTCGGGCCGGCCCTTTTAGGCCATGAAATTATGAGGGCCTGACTTGATATTTTTCTCTTCAAATAGAAACTAAGCCCTGGAGGGCCGATGGCTTAAAAGGGCCAGCCCTGGAGGGCCGCGGGTCGGCCTGTTTAAGCCCTTTTATAAATTTTTTTGTTTTTAAAATTTTTTTATATAATCCTAATATTATTAATTTTTTACATTGTTAATAATATTTCAAATATTTAGTTATTATTATCATTTTAAAATTAAATTTAGTTTTAGACAATAATTTATCAAATTAAATTTTTTAAAAATGGGTTAATTTGGACTTAATAATGATTGATTTATATTATATGCGTTGATATTGTTAAACTATATATATATATATTTGATAATAGAGTATTTTTATACTTATATAACATGTGATTCTATAATTTGAATTAGAAATTCATGAGTTTCAATAACAATGTTTCTCACATTAAAGTAAAATAATAGCTAGATTACAAAATTTAAAAGTAAAATTCCTATAAAAAAAACTTGATATTTTTGTTATGAAAGAAGAGCATACTTATGAAGAAGAGTAATTAATTATAGTAATGATGAAGTTTCAAAAGATTAATGATAGTATTTATTTATTACATAATTATACTATAGATAAAACTTTTGGATGTTGTTATCTTGTTAATGAATGTTTAAGATGTTCTTGGATGTTGATGGATATTTATATATGATGATATTTTATATTTGTGACTTAATTTTATTCATATTTATGTTTTTTATTAATAATTTCATTGGTTTATTTTTATTTTTTATAAAAAAATATGATAAATATAAAAAATAGCATTTTTTTTCTTAAACGGGCCAAAAGCTTGCGGGCTGGCCTTGAGCCCTGTAGCTTAAGAGTCGGGCCTAGCAAATTAGAGTATTTTTAAAATTTCAGCTCTAGAGGGCCGGCCCTTTTAAGCCCGCAAGCCCTGAAAGGCCGGTCCTAATTCCCACCTCTAGGTGTGACCCAGATCAACCCGGTAATAACCCGGGTAACCCGCCCAGTTTGGTGGGTTAACCTGGTTGCCTTTTTTTTTTTTCTTTTTTTTTAAATAAATAATATTTTTATTATTTTTTTAAAAGATATTGATAACTAGGACTCAGTGATTGAATAACTATAGGGACTAGGGAGGAATATTTTGTTATCATATATCTATTTTTATATTTTGTTGGGATGAATATTTAGTGATTTTAGTAGTATGATATTATAAGAAATTGTAAGTATATGATTATTTTATTAGTGATTCAAGATATTAAATTGATATCTAGTTCTTAGTAAAAATTTAAATTATTTTTTATTGTTTTTTATTTCTCATCAGTTTGATTCCGGTCTAACCCACAGTTTTGACCGGTTCAATTGGCAATCTGGTTTTCAGTACTTTGGTTATTTGAAACCAAACAGGTCTTAGGTAATCCATTTTCATATTGTTGGTCTTTACAATTAGATCAAATTTTAGTTATAACAAATTGCTAGTTTTGATTCCTATAACTTTATAAGGTTTGGCCTGAGTTTAGAATATATATCAAAATTAAAACTTGTTAAAGTATAGGAATTATTTGTTAAATTCAAATTAAATTCTCATAAAACTACAATAAGTAAAAGCAAAATTTAATCTAATTGTAAGTTATACTGTTTCAAATTTTAAATAATAAATTTTTTCAAGAAAAAGAAACTGTGATATTAAATAATATAAGTTTACGAGTTACAAATAGTTAGTGAAGTAAAACTTAAGAAATTTAAAAAACTAATATTGGAATGACCCTAAAGGTAATAATAAAAAATTCAAAAAGCAAAGCTAATATCTCTTGCCAAGTGATATTGAGAGTTGAAGAAGCTTGTAGAGAAATTTTAAAGAAAAAATTGTTCTAACACAGTAAGTCGTTAATATATCTTAACATCTGGTTGTAAAAGTCCTGTGATATGAATCAAGAAAAAAGTAGCACGGCATCATTTGGGAAAAAAAAAAGTTGTCCCTATGATTGCTTTATTTTCCCACAAGAATTCCTTTATGGAGGATCCGTTATGACAAATAATTTCATGGCAAAAGTTCTTCCCCAATCCCTTGTACCTATAAAAGGGAACATTTCATCCATCATTGTGTAAAGCTAGGCTCGAATCAACAATGAATTTTGGTCTATCCATTTTTATTGAAGAAGGAGTTGAGGATGCAGGATCTTGGTGGTTAACAATTTGCTTTGCTTGCATAATTATTGTCAAAGGGCTGCCCCCCCCCCCCCCAAAAAAAAAAAAGATGTAAAGCCTGATTCCTTTTCCTCCAAATAGTGTGCAAAAGACATATCATTTGAGAGACCAAACGCAAAAGACCCATCCTTTTGAAGGTTAAATAGCGTCCTTAAGCCATTCTTTGAAACCAGTGAAAATTAAAAGAAGGAATTCCAATATCAAAACATCCATAACATAGACTTCTTGTTAAAGGACAATTGACCAGAAGATGATTCAGTGTCTCTGCTGTATCACAGCCAAAGACACAAAGTATATGAGGAGAAATGATGTCCGAGGGCATGTCACTTGATGGCAAGGCATTATAAAAAAACTTCAAAATGAAAATAAGGTGCTTGGATGGCAAATGAAACTTCCATAGAGAATTATTGCACTTCTTTTTTTCACAACATACTACTTTTTGTGCTTTTCTTTTGGTTTATATCTTTGATTTAATCCTGAGGAATTTATTCATTAACATGTAATTGGACCATTTAGATTTATTTTCACGTTATTTAATTTATTCATCTTTTATTTTTTTTATTTACATCGTTGTATGCATAAAATATTATATTTATTTAATCATCATTTACCCAGGACCACGAAAATCATTTAGCCAGCTTTTCCAACTTGACGTTCGCACCATCTTTCAAAACATTAGACCAAAAGAAAATTATTTAAAGATCGAGAACTTCTAAATTGTTAATATTAGCTGTTTAATTATTTGAGTCAAAAGTAATACATTAAAATACCCTTTTAATTAAATACACTTTCTATTTCTCATTCTAAAAAGAAAACTATAAGTTGTAAATTAAAAAAAAATTACTATGAACTCATTAGAAGTAACAAAAACTTTGACAACTCAATCTTTTTTTTCCCCTCATAATGAAAAGATCTATATATTTCATAAACATTTTCAGATGAAGTTGAGAAAAGAAAAGAAAATAGTAAAGCGACTTGGGCCGCACTCGCGTGAGATGTGAACTTATTATAAAGGTACACAATGATACATTCAATGGAAACTTGAGTCTGAACTATTTAGAGTCAAATTCTAAGGAGTCAACCTACAACAGTAGCTGAGTCCCAAAAAAAAAAAAAACTTACAACAATAGCACCTAGCCCAGTGATAACCAAGAAGAAAATCTCAAGTCCCACGGCATGCAGATGCAGATGAAGTGAATTAGCATCACTAAGCACTAAAAGGTTCCACAGACCAAATACCAAAAGTAATATAGAAAATATAAAAAGGAAAAATGTTCTGGGAAGCAATTATCATCATATCTCTAGCACATTGCATCCTGTCTTCTAATAATATGGCATGTATCGACTTGGCCTTCTGAACCTGGGAACCTTCCTGCAGTGGACAAAAGAAAGCAAAAAGAAGAGAAAACAAAGATCAACTAACACAACTTGGCACAAGTGCAAATTAGATTTGTGTTAGCAACATACCCGTATCCATAAGGCGAGTAAAAGTAAGGAGGAGGGAAAGGCCTCCTGAAGCGATACCCCATGTAAGGATTAAAACGCCTAGGGCGATACTGTTTCATTCCAGGGACATTGGTCCTTTTTGGCATGACCTGGAAATATGCAAATCCACTTGGTTATTGGCTTATAGCTCAGTTATTTAGTGGAAGGATATTATGGAAAATTCAAGCTATAGTTGAGAATACAAGCCTTCAATTGACGACCATGCAATTCAGATTCATTCAAGACAAGAGCCTCTTGAACAGCTTCAGGTTCAAGGAATTCCACATAAGCAAAACCTTTTGGATGACCAAACTTGTCTGTAAGGATAGTCACCCTATTCACTGTCCCACATGACTGGAAGTGCTGCTGCACTTCTTCTGGTGTGCATGCATAATCAACCTGCAAAATTTGAATTATTTTAGACGACTTGATACCTATAATGATCAAAACAGACATTAGAGTAAGGAACTACAAAGGCGCACAATTCCTGTTCCTCTTAAAACCATTTTATCATACCACTCCTTCGGTTACAACTGTAAATGCAGGTCATGAACAGTTATGTCCGTCCCCCCTATAAGCAGACTATGAAGCTCATAATTACTTGTGCACGAAAGCAGTATTTGTTGAGAATATTGTAAAAGAGATCCAATAAAACACACACACACACACACACACACACTTTTTCCCATCTCAACTTCTCATTTCATTCTCCGTAAGTTAAATCATAGCTCATGCACGGGGAAAAAATACAAAATAGACTTGGATTTTTAACTCAATGGATGTCAAGCCATCAAACTAGTACTCTAAATCATTGCATGGGATATTAGTATTTATTTTCAAGCAACAAATGCTCACATTTTTCATGGTCTTCAGTCATAGCACAGGAATAATTCTATTTACTAACCAGACATCCCAAACCCACTAGACAAATATATTCCGAATACATGACAAAACCCAGCATGCAGCCCCCCCTTTCAATCTTCAGAGAAACCATTGTATGCCTTATACTGATCTTTTCCAAAAGAAAATTTACAGCAGCACTAAATTCTACAAGCCTATGAACTACCATAACTGTAAAGGAAGCTGTGGTTCAAACATAAACAACATGAATATTTAAAAAACAAATGCTTCATCGGTATTTTTTTAAACAAGAAAAGAATAACTGCAAGCTTGAATATGAAGTATTGACAATTGAAGTTCTTGTAGAAACGGTCCAATGGCAGTTTTTTAAGACTCAAGAATGAAGTGTTAGAGAAGGAAGAGGGAAAGAAAGCAAACCAAAGCATAATAAGAACTCAATGCTGGGCACAATAACACGAAATGAGGGACAAACTGCCTCATTTGAAAAATATCAGATAATCTTATCCACAGAGGTGAAATGACTGCGATGTAGGCCACAGGGAAGCAGCAACTGCATACCCTTGGCAAGTCAACTAAATGGCACACAACAAAGGTACCATAGACCTTTGCAGTCAGCAGCAGAGCTCTATGACTAGAGATTGCATCCCAGCAGTTGCAGAATGCTCTTCCGATGAACCATAACATAAGCCATCTCCTTTGACGCATCTTTAGCACATTCACCTCCAGCAATTCCAGTTTCAGCCGCCACTTGAGATGCTTTCATAGGTTTACTGACACGAGTCTACTTTTAATAGTACTACTCGCTTCAGTAGAAACACATTATGCAGTACCCCACTATTTTCACATTACTTTCTTGTTTTCTTTTCTTTTTCTTTGTCTTCTTTTTTTCCTCAACTCCATTGCATTTTTCCTTTTCTGCATTTTTTCCCTTCAGTAAATTGTCTTCTCATTTCTTTTCCCTTTTCTTTTCAAGATCTCTCAATCTTTTATAGCTCATTCTCTTCTGATATTTTTATCTCCTCTTAATATATCTTATTTAGTTCCAAAAGCACATCTAAATTTTCTTTTCTCTCCAGCACAAGCCTAAGGGAACATCACATATAAATTTGGCCCATTTACAAAATACAATGAATAGCATCCCAGTGCTAAACTATAGAAGTTGAGTGGTAAGAATGACCCTGCGATCATAGTGAGACATAAAGTCAAGCACTATCCCCAGAGATGAACAGTATTCACTCCAAAAGAAATGAACATATAACCTTTTATATAATAAAATAAAAAAAAATGCAAACTCAACCCATACAATTTTTGCTCGAGATTAATCTATTCAAAGATTATTGACATCAAATGAGCAGGTAGCCTCATTATTCAAAGCCTATCTTAATGATAATTGAGTGCAAAAAAGCTAAAATATCAGAATCACTAAATACCATTTAAAAAGTGATCAACTTAGATGACCTCCACCCAAAACAAGATGAGGGATAAAAATAAAAAGGCATTTGTAGATCCTAGTAGCTACCCGGCATAACAAATGCAGCATGTAAATCTGAGAAATCTAGCTCATTATTAGGGCATCTAAATGTTTGTAATGCAGCTCTGCCACCAATTGAAGAGGTAGGTATCTTGCGGATTTAAATCCTAACCTGAAGCTACCTAACAATATGTTTAGCATAAAAAAAATCGATCTCTACAGTGGTAGAAAATAATGTTACCTCAAGTAGTAGGAGAATTTCAATCATAATATAAACTAGGTTATCATAATGCCAACTATGAAAACTTCATGTTCAGGAATTTTGCTCTTGATTAGAGGCTTCAGCAAGATTGCAAGTCTAATCATGCATGTTAAATGTCATGATATATGGATAGAACAAAAAAGTTTGCCCAAGCTCATGAGACAAATTGCCACAGCTTTTTATTGTTTTATATCATGGGAGTGAGAGGGGAAGCCTAGTTCAAACTAGAAAACCTCAATGAAGCAAGGCAGGGTCATTCATACATTGCCAACAAAAACAGATCGAGTATCTGCCTCCTCCTTGCTTGCGTGAGAAGCAGCTGCACTCGCAGGATCTACATCAAAGATTGAAGAAGTAAAAAAAGTGAAGATTAATATATGGTACCAGCAATACGATGGTTTACTCTTAACAAAAGCCAGAATATTTGGTGTAACAATTTGGAGAATAACAAAATTTGCTTCTGAGAAGTGAAAGGGAAGCGCCTGTGAAAAAAATACTTATAAACATTATTTCAGAAAATATAACCGCTGCTTGAGAACAAAGGCGCACAGACAAAACTGTATAAGCAATGCATAGCTCAATATCATCACAATCACTAATTCAGAAAACATAATTCAAAGCAAAATTGAAAAAGCTCATTATATTAAGAAGACAAAGCCATCACAGTGAAAAAGCGTATACAACGAATTAGAGAAGATCAACGTCCGTAAAATCATAATACTGCCCGAAACATATTATTTTGCATTCGAACTAACTTATTTTGTCCCAGTCAAAATTGTTACAGCCACCTCAACTAAAAATCCAGCATAATGAGGTTTTAAAGTCTTAACGTCGAAGGGGAGGGGATCAAAACTTATGCTTTAAATATCTTAATTAAGCAGAAGAGGAAAAAAAAAAAATCAATGATCGGAGAGATACAAGAAAAGAGGAAGACCTTGAACCGCGCCCATCTCCTTCTCGACCTTGGCTTGCATTTCACGGAGAGCAGCGGCTTCCTCTTCCATTTCCTTCAATCTTTTCTTCATCTCGTCCAGCTCCTGCAGCAAATAACGAGACGAAATTTTAAATACAATCAAAATCCGATCAGGACATTCAAGTTCTCACTTTGTTCATTCTCTGCCAACATTAAATTATCCAGTGAACGTTGTAGGTATTCCATAATTGCGAAGTTACTACACAAGGACTGGATCAGCTAACAAGGAACAAATTGACAGAGATGGAACAAGACCTTGACGGCGTCGTCGTCAGCAGCAGACATATCGACATCGGCATGGTGCGAATCCATATCTCCTTCCATCTCGCCCATATCTGGGATGTCGCCTCCGTACACCTCATGTTCTTCCTCCTCCATTGCTGTTCAATTATCTCTATGCAAGATGATCCAATTCACGATCAGGGCAGGAGACAATATCAGCCCCGACCAAGATAAAGAGGAGAGAATGCCTGCAATGCGGCACTGGGAAACCCTTTCCTACATTGATTTGCAATAATAGATAGATTGCGTCTTGGGCCTTCAAGCCCCAACAACAATTGAGGCTTAAAGCCCAAACAAGACATTGTTATTTGAATAGTACTTAATATAATTACTAATAGCAATATGACTTAGGGGGTGTTTGGATTATAAAAAAATCATTTTTCAAAATGCATCTTTCTTAATACCTCATCTTCCTCTTCTACTTGACTATGGAGGGGGTATCCATAGGGGTAATTTAGAGAACATTGATAAATATGAGAAATGTGTTTATGGACCAAAACCAACTAGAATTGGGTCCTATATTAAGCTAGACATATGAGTTAATACTATTAACATTGATGTTAATATATATAATATAAATAATAAATTGCATTATTTAAAAGTAGAAATGATACATGTCAAATTACATTATCAACATGCTTGGGGGTTTTTTTACCCTTTCGCACTCCCTTGATGGTTGATAGTTTTAGGACTAGGCCATTCAACAAAAGGTAACCCAAAGAAGAAACACTGTTTTTTCAAAACTTCAAAGTCCAGACTGAATGAATGGTAGAATTTAACGGGAAATTAGAAAAAAAGAAGATAAAAAATGCGAATATAAATAGAAAAATCGCTTTGTTCTGTGAGCATAAACATCGAACGGCGTCCAAATCAATGTTTTTGGCACATATATCCACAAAATGTCTACTCCGTGTTCGTATTAAAAAATTGGTTGAATAGTCCTTTTGGGATTAATAGAAATTATTTTTCTTTTAAAATAGACACAGTATTTGAGGATGTGTTGTTGTAATTTTAAAAATAGTTTTACATTATACAAAATAAGTACTACATATAATTCTAATTATAAGATTTTATTTGTAAATTATAAATAATATTTTACCATTAAAGTAGAATGTAATACATTAGAGAAATATTGTCATTAAAATATTTTTTAAAAAAATTTACTTCGGATTCTTGAGGCTCTGAACTCTTTGAAGTCTCAAAAACAACTTCTTTACTATGATGTTGACAGAATCAGAAACGGCGGTCTTCATAAACCAATGGGACGACTCACCCGAGACATACGCGCACGCCTCTTTTTTCCACATAGGCCCTCCCAACGTGTCAATAATTCAGTCCTCTCTTATTTTTATTAAAATATTCATTATACAAAAAAAATTTAAAAATTGATGAAAATGTATGACTCAACGTATCTCTGCTTTCAAACAGAGATCATTCATTGGCCGAAAAAACAGAATATATTAATAATTAATAGTTTAATATGTTAGATAAAAAGGACCGGGAAAAGCGAGAGGTTACTTATTACCAAAGCACCTTTCCCAATCTCTCTCTCCCTCGTTACTTGTTTAATATATTGGTTTTGATATTTGAAGCGGAAACAAGAAGTTGAATAGCAGAGGCAAAGATCCATCGTTGTTTTATTATTCACCGATCTCACTGTGAAGAGAGAGGAAGAAGGGAAGAAGAGAGAGAGAGAGAGAGAAGTTGGTGGAAATGGCGAGCGCTGGAGGTGGAGGATATGGAGATGCTAACCAGAAGATAGACTACGTGTTCAAGGTGGTTCTGATAGGAGATTCGGCGGTTGGGAAGTCACAGTTGCTAGCTCGTTTTGCTAGAAATGACTTCAGCCTGGACTCCAAGGCCACAATTGGCGTCGAATTCCAGACTCGGACTTTGGTGATCGACCACAAGAGCGTCAAGGCTCAGATCTGGGATACAGCTGGCCAAGAACGGTGCTCTTTATCTCTCTACTTTCACCATATTTCACTTTCTTTTGTGTTCATTGAGCTGATTTGCCTTTGTTTATTCTATTTGTCTTCCCGCGATCGATGTGATTTTAGCTATACTTTTTCGATAACCAAGTTTGAAACCGTCTTTTTGGTTGTCTTCGCGTATTCTTAAGGATCTTTCTGTTCAGGATTTTACCACGTTGTGTTTTTGAATCAGAGTTCACTTCATGCTAGCATAAACTTCCAGTGTCCGTTTAGAAATGCTCTTGTGTAGCGAATTGATTATTTGGTTTAATTTGTTGAAGTGATCTGCTTATCATCGTATACAGAACCTGAAATCAATATTATAATTCAATTCGATTTGTAAAGTGTTTATACTTTCTTATCATGGTCGGATCACATGTATTTGTTGATCATAACTACTAGCTATGGGCAATAAGTATGTGGATCGAGTAATGAATCGTCAAACTGAAG